ATGTTGGAAATGTCATAAAAAAACTGGAACCTACTATCACCTCTGGTGGACTTGTGATAAAGCAAAAAAAATTTGGTACAAAATACATACATGGCTTGTTAAAATAATCAAAAAACATGTAGATTTTAGGCCAGAGCTCTTTCTGTTAGGTATAATACCAGAAAGTGTTGATAGACAAAATGTATATTTAATACTGCATATTCTAACAGCGGCGAGGATTATTTATGCACAGTACTGGAAAAATGAGGGAACACCTACGGATCAAGAAATAATTAAAAAGATATTGGACTGCGCCGAAATGGACAGACTAACACTGAAAATCAAAGGAAAAGAAGATACAAAATATTACCAAACATGGGACTTATTCTATCAATGGTTAGAAGGATGTTGTATAGATTAGGAGTATAATGTGTGTAGTAGTTGTTTTACAAATGATTATAAGCTGTACCCTGGTGACACGATGTTAAACCAATATGGATGGATTTATATAATTAAAAAAGTTAAAAAAAAAACACACATCCGAGTAACAAAGGTTAAGAACCACTGAGTTAGATTTCTGTGTATGTCGGAAGACCAGATGGGCGGGGTATAAATTAAATTAATTAATTAAATAAATATGTACACAATCAAAGATGTAACACTTCTTCAGATCTTGGGCACAAGGTGGTAAGAAACTAAATTGTGGTTGTGGTTATTCAGTGGTCAAGAGGAGGTCCTCTGCATATGCTCAAAAGCACTTTTCTTTATTATTACTTCCCATGTCCTCTGTTTCACTCCTGAGATGGAAAACTGGCTCCAGGGTTGAATCATTGTGGATTCTGCTTTAAAACAAGCCAACTGCTCTCTCTGTCCTTATTTCTTTTAGCTGATTCATCCTCGTTGCCATATTAATCATACATTCACCTCATCCAATGATTTCAGTAGCGTTTACCACCATGTAAACATCCTTCCGCTTATCTTGTTGTCCAATAGTTGGGCCCTGACCACACTTGGTTTGGAGGAATCCCCACCTAAGAATCAAGTAGTACCACCCATTCTTGTTCATGTTTACCTGAAAGTGAATCTTGAGTTCAGGCAGGTTTTTCGCCCTTCTTAAGCATACTCAGGGCTGCAGTTTTTGTCAAACCACCATACCGGCTTTGAAGAAAAACTGGTCTTAGAAGGCAGGCAAAGCAGTCAGGTTTTATTACCACAATAGAGTATAAATAGGGGAAGTCCCCACTGGAGAGATGTTCAGTGGATCGAACATATCCTCTAGCAGCAAAAAAAATAAAATAAAAATAAATAAAAATGAAATAAATTTTAAAAAATTCCAGATCCAAATTCTGACCTCTCAAAGTAATGCTTGGGAAAGCTTCTCTCCAACGCCCTGGATAACCAACGCCAGTCAGGTGAAACTGGTGTGTAACGTGACTCTCGAGCCCTTTCCAATCCCGGTGCTCTGGCTGTAATCGGCACGTTACACTTCAGGGAGCCACAGGACTCTTCGTTCTTTTGGCTGCACTAGGCGAGCCTTTTGGAACTCACGCCGGCTGGTGGGAGTCCGAGGGGCGACGGCGCTTCCTTCCCCTCGCGGAAAGGAGCCAGCCGCCGCTGCGGGGGTGTGGACCGGCGCCTCTTTTTCGCGCTTACTTCCCCGGAGGGAAGCCGAGCCGGCGAGTCCCCTTTAAGGCCAGGAGTGACGTCAGCGCTGCTGTTGCCACCGGCCGGGAAACTCTCCGGCGGTTCGGTTCGGATCGACCAAAGCGCTCAGCATCGGGTGGAGAGAGGCGGGCGGCGGCTGCACTTGCTCGCCCCGCAGGCAGAGGCAGGTTGCGGGTTTGCGGGGCGAGAAGGGAAGGGAAGGGAAGGCGGAAGGAGGAGAAACCGAGCCGGCTTGTAGGGCGCTTTTCTCCGTGGACACATCCGGATTGGGGCGGGTGTTGTGCTGGATCCGAAGTGGCTTTAATCTGCTCCTTTGAGCCATGGCTCCTCCGGCGGGCGCCTTCAGGCACCTGAGCCTGGCACTGGGTGCCGCGGTGGCCGCCCTGGGCTCCCTCCTTTTCATCGCCTGGAAGATCTACTTCCGAGACGTCAACGACAGCTGTATCGGCTGGAGGGGACGCTGGGAGCAGCAGCTGCGGGCAGAGTTAGAGCGCAAGGCGCCCAAGGAGAACCAGGTAAGGTGGGCCGAAGGGGGGGGGGCGCAGATACGTCCCCTTCCTCCCGAGGAGACACGGCACAAGCGCTTGGTAGCTAACTGAAAGGGACACGGGTTTCCGAAGATGTTGTGGATGCGATTGAGGGGGTATCCCACAACATCCACACATCAGAGGCGGGCGTTCCCTACGCGGTATTCCATGTCCTCGTTAACAGAGTTGGCTGGATAGGTCAGTGGTTTGGGTCTCTGGCTGCAGAGCCAGAGATGGGGAGTTCCAAACTGTGCCTCCCAGGAAGAAGAGTCGACGTGTATATAGCCGTGGGGCGAGCTGCACATGGCCACCAGAAGAAAGGAATCACAAACCAATTCTGAGTACTCTCTACCCAGGAAACCCTGGTAATGTTCATATTATTCACGTGTGACCAGGAGTAACCTTCTGGGAAGTGGGAAGGTGCTAAAGAACCCCTACAGAGAGATGACAAGAAGTATAGTTGCAGGGCTAAGATTACCAGATTCATGTGGCAAATAACCAAAGAATGCTTAGAAAGTCAATACTGGGTACAAATACATAGAGACATGCCTCTCTGTACAAAAGATGAGAGAGCAAAGAATTCAACATATTTTAAAAGAGGACCTGCAGGAAGTGAGGCAATAACAAGCTAACTAGCCTCTGTAAATTGCAAATCTTGGTTGAACACAGAATTCTTAAGCACCCTGACAACCGGGGGAGAATCAACATGGCTTCCTCTTATGAAAGTCTTGCTTCAGCGATGCTATATAAAGAGAGAGAGAGCGCAAGGACAGTTGTGATCCAAGAGATGACCCGTACATGGATTCTCACAGAATGTGTGAAAAAGTATCTCAGTGAAGATGTGGAGATAGCCTTAGAGTGTCCATCTCACTTTGGTTTGGTTGAGTGCCGATGGAACTAGCAGGCACAGCGTTGCTCCTCTAAACTTAGAGCTTGAAGTCATTGCATAAAACTAAACAGGAGGAGATCCAGCACGCACAAAAGCAAGTACTGCAGCTATACGAAGATGGAGAGAGGCAGGAGTTCTCATTTTGCTATTTGAGATGCAGCTCTTGTCGTCACCCTAAGTGACATTCTGGATAGGCTTCTACTGAGGTTGGCAGCTCTTCCTGGAGCCAGCTCCCTGGACATCTATCTAGATGGACTCATCCCCTTTCTCAGGAAGGAGCCTAAATGCTACTGGAGCAGGAATGAGATAACTTTGTCCCACCAGACGTTTTCAACTATAACTCCCACAGTCCCATATCATTAGCCATATTGCTGAGGGTTTCTGGAAGTGGAACGTTATCCGGATAGACAAACATCCCCATGAAGCTTAAGACAAGTTACTTTAGCTGGTACTGAGAGCTCGCAGAACTTTGCATAGGCTGCCGAATAATAATAGTGCTAGTAAACAAAAGAGCTTCAGTCTCAGTTCAGCTGGTGTTCTACTTTCTTAGAAGCTTCAGCAAGTTACTTTTACTGCAATTGCTACCTGAGCTAATTCATCCTCTTAAGTCATTCTGAAGACTGAATGAGGTCACAATGATCCATGTGTCAGTCATCTTCCCTTTAGACTACTGCAGTGAGCTCTCTGTGTTACTGCCCTTGAAGATTGCTCAAAAACGGCGACTAATGTAAAGTGCCAGTTTTGATTTCTAGTATAGCTTTTGGTGGTATCAAACTAATCCCATGCCAACTAAATTTAATTCCAGTGTGATTCAAGGCACAGTTCAAGATACTGGTTTTCCCCTATAAAGACGTACGTTGTTTGGAGTGGTGATACGTGAAGAAAAGCCACCTCCTACATGACCCTGTCTGAAAACTGAAGAGATTTTAGCAGTCTTGTTACATGTTCCACCACCCTGTCAAGAAAGATTTGGTTGGTGGGGAAACAAGACAATGCCTTCTTTGTGAAAGAACCCTGGCTGTGGATCACCTTTGCTAGGAGGATTAAATTGGCTCCTTCCCTGTTTAGCGTTAGGCCAGCCATTAAATCTTTTCCACCTGCTTCTTAGTCATGTCATGCCAAAGTTAATTTGGAACAGTCAAATCCACGGGGGCAAATTGCATCCGTGTGCTGATGCATCTCAGTCATTTCCCTTGCCCTCGCCCCCACCCCACATACCCTTTGCCAGCACCAGTGTTTTGACTACCTTTCAGAGTCATAGACAATTGCACTAACCAAAGAGAACAGAGGCTGTTAGGATGTGGCTGTCTTTGCTTATCATATGTAATGTAATACTCTTTTCTGTAAATGTGATGCAAGCTTAAACTAGGGCATATCCTATTTATACTTGCATCAACCCTTCAAGTTTTGCACAGCTTGTCATTAATTTTACCACGGCTACCCAGAGTGAATAATTTACCTGCAAGATTAAGAAATCACTCCTGCTTTTCAGCAATAGGTTCTACAGTGCCAAATATTCCTACCTCTGAGATTGATAGATCACAAATCCTTTTTCTCAGCCCGCTTAGCATTTAGTAGTGTGTTTTCTCACTCCCACTTAAGAGGCCAACGTTACAAGAACCCACGAATCAGTCTTAAACCAGATGTGAGAAATTTGTGCTCCTCCAGACGTGTTTGGGTTGGGTCTCCCATCCTTTCTCAGTGCTAGTGTGCCAGCTAGAGTTGATGGGAGCTGCTCTTGAATGGTATCTGGAGGCACATGTATTCCTCACACCTAGTTTAAGATGCTCCTCTTGCTTGCAGTGGAAAGTCATTGTAGCTGGCCTTGAAAGTGGGGCAGACTGGCTGGTTAGGAGGTGATGGTGGGAGTGCTCCTGAAAATTGCCTCTTACAGAAGAAGAAAGCCTCACGCTATCATCTGCTTTTCTTGCATCTGTTTGGTCCCTGACGGTTCCTACGAGAAGAGGAGAACCTTCTGATGTTTCTTCTCGCAACAGAAAAAGAAAACGAAGAGGAGAACCTTCTGATGTTTCTTCTCACAACAGGAAAAGAAAAGTAAACAAAGAAAGAGTCCCTCTATCTCACACCATTTTATCCTAGCTCTGTCAGTGTTGCCCATACTTTAGTTTATGTCAGGTGGTCACTGCTCCCAACAATAACAGGTTTGTTTATCCTAGCTCTGTCAGTGTTGCCCATATCTCAGGTGGTCATTGCTCCCAACAATAACAGGTTTACACCCCAGCTGATGGTGAGGTCTGTCAGAATATTGAGAATTTTATAGGCCTGAACAGGTCCAGACTGTAATAATGAGCTGCCATGATGATCACCTGTGCAGAACTCTGCACATTACCAGCAAGAAGCTGACAAGGTCTGGTTTTGTAATCCTTTGAATAGAGAGAACCACTCATGTATTAAGCACAGACGTGTCTTGCATAATCACAACATGGGCTAGACAGTGGTTTACAATCCTTGGTAACCTGGGTGTACTTAGAGTGCAATTCCCAGAAGCCATCACCACCAGTTGTGCTGGTTGAGGTTTCTGGGAGTTGCAGTCCAAGAATACCTGGTTTACCCAAGTCTGGGAACCACTTGCTTGGACTAATCTCAAACTTTTCTCTTTATAGCCACATTCCTGTCAATATCAGGTTTTGGTTCTGGGCTTGGATGGGGCCGGAAAGAGCAGCATCATTCACTATGTCTGCAGTACAGAAGCAAAGAAGCATATCGCACCCACTCAGGGATTCAGTTCAGTGCAGCTGCAGGCAGATGGGCTCCAACTGGATCTCCTAGAGGGTGAGTCCCTCCATAACTGGAGGAAACAGAAATAACTGGGTGCTGTTGTTGTGCAGGAGAGAAAAGCAGGACTCTTTATAAACCATCACACCTCGCATTGTTGTATGGCTGTGATGGTTGGTGTCTGGAAGACCTAGACGTGAAATGAATTTACTTCTTTTTGCACTGGGAGAGAAAACTGTTCTTGGCTATTTTCCCCCCTACCTGAAAAAATGACTGTCCCCATTTAAATCCTTCTCTGTCCTGGGACACTGGAGACGGGGTACAAATGTGCTATATGCTCATTTACTACACATTTTGACATCCACCTCTTCATTATCTCAGTTGGTGGCAGCCAGAATCTGCGCTTCTACTGGAACCAATATCTGAGCAAATCTCACGTTCTGGTCTTTGTGGTGGACTCTGCAGATGGCCTTCGCCTTCCCACTGCCCGGCAGGAGCTCCACTGCCTGCTTGCAGAAGATCCTCAGCTACCTTTGATAGTGTTGGCTAACAAACAGGTGGGTTCCTTGACTTTTTTCAGGTCTGACTGTACAAAGCAAGCAGAGGCAACTGTGGTTCTTCAGATGATATGTAACTTCTGCAGCCCTAGCCAGGATAGCCAATGGCAAGGAATGATGGGAATAGCCATCCGCCACTTTCTGGAGGGCCACAATTGTTCCTCTCCAAATTTGGGGCAAAGTAGGGAACCACTGGCCCTCCTGATGTTTTGACTTGCAACTCCCATCCACACCATCCAGCATCTCCAGTGGGGAGATGCTGTGAGAGCTATATTCTGAAACAGCTTGAGGGCCAAAGGTTCCTCATCTGAAGAACCTTTGGCCTAAAAGAACTTGGCCTGAAAGACCTAGAGTGGTCTTTTAGGCCAGATGGGCAGGGGAGGGAGGGACGGACGGACAGTCAGTCGGTCGGTCTAAAGGCCTCACTTACTGAATGAACGAACGAACAAATGAATGAATGGTCTAAAGGCCTCACTTATCTAAATTCCTTGTTCCTCTGCATGGAGTTTGCCTATATTGAACTGATTTGGCATTTCGTCCCTAACTTTGCATGGTTAGTGTCAGCTGTAATTGTATCTGCCCCAGCCATAATTCACATGCTAATCCTTGTCAAGAGGCATGGAAGTTGGTAAATAAATGCATGTGGCAAAATATAGTTCTCTTAAGAGGACGAATCAGAGGGCTATTGATGAAATGAACGTCTGTCCATATATTCTAGGACAAGAGTGATGCGCTGAGTATGGCAGAACTCCGTAAAGAACTGGGCTTGCACACCTTGAACCGTCAGAGGGAATTCTTTCTTTTGCCCACAAGTGCTACATATGCTGGCCTGGCCACCGCCAACAGTGTTCTCCACCTGAAGAGCCTGCTGATCAAACTCCTTGCTCAGATCTAAAAGTTTCACAACTTAAGATTCTAACTGGATGGATCCAATCTGACTCTGTTCTTTGTGGCAGCTACTTTTCCATGCTGTAAGGCAGCATTAGGCTCCTCTTTATTTAAAGAAGCTCCCTTTCAAGCATTCCCTAGAGTAAGGGAACCCGGCTTCCTGTCTGACCCTGGAGACAAAGTCTTCTGTATGAGTTAAGAAGGAAATCCAGTCAGGGCAGATCATGTGGCTGCTGTATCAGCCTGGGAGGATCGCTGTTGACAGCTGCTCTCCTGACCGCCTCAGAATACAGTCCTAATAAACTACAGCATCAATAATTGTAGTAAGGACTACAATTTCTTACAGGACCATCAATCGTAAGATATATAGTAACAAATAGGAAGAAATGAAAACGGGGACTCTACACAGTGGCAGGTTAGGACTGCCGTCTAGAATCCCTTGCTGTGCTTTGGGCAAGATGAAGGCTGATCTTGCCTAGCTGGAGTCAGTGGAAAGTTGGATGTGGTGTCCACAAAGGGGTCTTAATGTGTGCACCCAACTACACTGATGAGATGTCCCAGCACTTTAAAAAGGTTATGCCCCCAGCTAATGACCACACCCAGTGAGTAGTTGGTAGCATAGCTGCCATAGTTTCCTTTGCAAGATACCAGATATCCTTGCATGATTACTGTTTCCTGCTAGACTATGTGTATTGCAGCAGCTATGCCTCTGGGGTGAGTGGTCTCTCCTATATATTCACTACTGCCAAGAACTGACGCAAAGATTAAGTGTTTTCCTGTAAAAATTGTTGCCCCATAGTATGTATTGCAGCAGCTATGCCTCTGGGGTGAGCAGTCTTTCCTATATATTCACTACTGCCAAGTGTCTTCCTGTAAGAATTGTTGTCCCATAGTACGCAATGCACAGTTCCAGGTCTCCTGCTTTTCTGAAGCACACAACACCTATAGCAAGGCTGCAGATAAGAGCTAGCCAAGGGGAGAGAAGACATTTTGGATGTTATGCAGGAACAGATGCGCTCAGATTCACTCTCCACAAATGTAGCTGAACATATCTCTTCTGGTGTGGTATTATGATTGTTCTCAGTCATTCAGATCAAGGGCTATCTACAATGTGTTTTTGCTTTGCGACAGAAGTAAAGACACGGGTATAGGCTGTAGCCAAACAACAGTGGCCCTAATATGCAAATGACAAGGTACCACACTTAAAACTGCTAATGACGTTGCCTTTTAACTTGAAGGTGGAAGAAATTGGCTTTGCATTAGGAGAAAGGAATAGGTCTGTGTCTTCAATCAGCTGGTCCAATAAAGGTAGCTTGCTCCCTCAGGCATGAAAGTAACATTGCCATTGTTCCCCCCCCCCTCAATGTTCCTTTACTCACAGCACGAGAACATTGCCTGCACTGAACCGGATTGCCTGATATTAATTTATTCCATCAGAAAATACACAAAGTTTGTGTGAATGGGCCCTAGCCCTAGATTTTCTGTGGTCTGTGTGAAACAGACCGTTCAATCTCAAATGTTTATACAAGTTTGCTCCCTTCTGTTCCAATAAAATTTGAATAATTACCTCTCATGTAAAAAATGTGGCTTTGAATTCCATACAACTGGGGGAATCTCAGGAATACACCATCCTACCATCGTGCTGCAAGGGAAGGCAACAGGGAGAAACCTTTGGGTTCCAGACCCTTTGAAAGATTTTATCTTGGCGAAAAAGGCCTTTCTGGCGAGATAGTCATACAGAGGCCTATGGCTCCCCCTCCCAAGTATTTCTAAAACGAGTACAGGTGCTGTGCTGATGTCAACTTTCCATTTGCAAAGCGGCACTTCAGGGCTGACTTCCAAATGAAATTTAAAAAGTATTGAAAGACTAATGCCAGAAAAATTGAACAAAGGCAGCTTCACAAATTGGGTAAATCAGCATATTTAAAAAAATGTTTATTTATGGAGGGTAATGTTTATATACCTTAAAGTGTTTACTAGAACTACCTAGTAAGCCCCTTTTAAAAAATCTCCTTGGCTCAAGCGTGCAACAGAATTCCCTTTGAAGTTACCACATGCAGGAGAAGCAAAATCTCAGCATGCTCCTACTAGTGGAATATGGCTCTTACCCCTAAAACTGACAAACATCTGGTGTATGTGATCTTGTAACACAATCAAGGTCCCTCCCTAGACTGAATTACTACCATAAATAGGACCTGCAGCTAATCTTAGTTTGCTAATTAACAGACCATCTACACAGGTGGCCTTATCTCTCCCGAATAAAGCAGTCTAAATATCACTGGAGGCGTCCATTTTCTTGGTGGCTTGTCTCCTCCTTACTCTGTTCATATCCCTCCAGTTCTCTCTGGCTCATTGCTTTGGCTCTCTGGCAAAGTTAGCTTCTCTAAAACCAGATTCTGATGCAATGTGCTCATCACTGTAAAGGCTTACACACTGAAGAACCCCAGCACCCTCTCTGCAAGTAGGAAACACAGGCAACATGTCCTTTAGCTGTGCTTTGTACTGACACAAGGCGCAGAAAAGGAATTTATTTTGAACAGGATCTCTCCAAAGGAAACAGCACCCCAAGACTGGGTGAATGCTGTAAGCTGAATGGAGCAGCACTCTTTGCCAGGAACATCATCAACACAGATACCTTCCAAACTTCCCTCTTGAAAAGCCAGAATGGGATGCAATTTCAGTTTCTGGCCACCAGTTACTTAAATACAGTCTAGTAATAAGAGCTATAAGCAATAAAGGTTCTTCTGCCCATTGCCGAGGTAAGTAAAATCACTGCTGATCCATCTTTTCTTGCTGAAGAGAAGCAACAAAGGCTTGGTACTCCTCAGCATAGAAGCGTTTATACACATCAATCTTCCTCTTTATTTGCTTTGGTGTATCCTGATAATAGTTCTTCTCATCACGAGCCATAGCCTGGAGGGTAAACAATAAAATTAAAAATTAGAAGAGTAGGCAGTTACGGCAACTGATGGCTCTCGAAGGCCTCCCACACCCTGAAAGTAAACAGTCCAAGTCAGCCTCAAGGAAACTGGCAACTTAAGGCCTGCAGGTGTTCCTAACCAAGCTGCTCCAAAAGCTCTCCCCCACCCCTTCAGAGGACACCTGGGGAAACAGTCCCTGGTTTTTCCAATACGTTCCTGGGGCGGGGGGAGTAGGGATTTCTTTTAGCATGTCATTTACTCTCTCTAAATCGGGGTGCAAAGTGATACATAAACACAGGCACATGCTCAAGTGACTGAGCCTCAAGGACTCAGCTAATTCCTGGAAGAACTATCTGGCTGTGCTTTGTTGTACTTCTGCTTTTATTGCCCTCTGTTGTGCACAAAACAAACAAACAAACAAAAAAGGCAATCGCAAGAGTGCAATCAGAAAAGGTAGATTCACTGAGAGGGTGGATGAATTTCCAAAAGAAATCATGTTTTTTTTTTCTGAGAGGGAAAAAGTTATACAGGGCAGCGTGAGTGAAAGGAAGAAAGAAGCAGCTGGACAATTAATGCCATCAACTATTTATCAGACATATCTAAAAGTTCTGAAGCTTTGAAATTTTAATGGCAGGAGCTGCAAACATTCAAAACAGAGCTCTCGGTCTTTCCAAGTTTTTGTAAAAGGTGTGCCTACCTTGTAGTTTTCAGCATGATTCCTGATCATGTGCTGGACATATTCAATGAGATCTGTGGAGAGGGTCTGTGATTTCTTCTCTGGAAGGCTGGCCTCAGCTTCCAACTCTGAGCATTAGGAAGAGAAGACAGTGAGATAGAGAGAAACATTTGCTCACTTTAAGAACCTGTTATGACCAAACTAAAACAGGAAGATTCAACTAACAGATGGGAATTGTTCACATTCCTTCTGGCAATAGATGCCCAGATCTTCTATGAAAGATGTAAATGGCCCACAGTGCCTGGCATAACAAGTCCATTGTCAAAACTTAGTCCAAACTTTAATATGTGTTTAACTACTTGAGGATCTGAAATGTTAAATCTAGCACATATAATAACTATAGCTTGAATAAGTGGGAACTATGAGAGGAGAGTAAGATCAAATTTTTTTTATATCCCTAAGCAGTTTTACTGTGCTAAAGCTCAGAGGGCTATCCTGGTGGCTAGTGAGCTACTCTTCATATTCTAACAGAGGATGGGGAAGGTTCTACTTCAAGTACAGTCTATGAGATACGCCATACATTCAAAAACCCTATAACAAAACATTTTAAATGCCTCCAGAGATCACTTGGGCAATTCCAAAGGCAACTACAGCTCTTGACCTATGCACTCCAATAGTTCAGATACAGGATTTCACTATGTAGCATTCCATCAACACAATACATTGTACACTGTTTGCAGGCAAATGTGTAAATACAAACTGAACTAGGGATATTTGTGCCTTTCCATGATTTGGAGCCAAAGAAAAAAGAACAGGCATTAACATGGCAGAGTGTCATACCCACATAACTGTAGGCATCCTTCAGTCTCGAGTGACTATGGTAATGTGCTCTGAGTAGAGGTTTTGGAACATACCCACATATCCCTTTGGGTTAAATTCTGCAGTGACATGTCACAAGTACAAGTTGGAAAGGAGGAAGAAAAACGAAGGAAAACAATGAGCTTGAGGCAATGGATAAGGGGAGTTATCTCTTTATCTTCGAAATGATTCCTCTTCACTTTCCCTGTTGCCAAATAATTGATCATGCCATGAAAGTCTGCGGCTGCAGCATCATTTATTTCACACCCAGGGAACAGGAAAGCTAGGGAGGGGTAGAGGGAAAGAACAAGTGTAGAACAGCAGACTCCCTGCATTGCCCTTCCAAGAAGTAATCAAAAACAATGCTCTTTGCCTTTTTAAAGTCTCTCTCTCACACTCCTTTCCTTGTGGCTGCCTTAAGGAAGCTGATGGGGCCTTTCTCTTGATGAATGGAATGGAAGGAAAATAAAACAGAATATGAGGGGGTACTGATAAGTATCGAGCCTTTCCCAGAAAAAAAAAAAGAGCTAGGAAGCTGTAACTGTCACACTATTCTACATATTCCCCCAGGAAGTCAATGCACTTGTGACATTTGTCCTGCAGCTTCTTAAGTCCCTGCAAATAAAATTCTTACGACTGCTGGTGTAACCACTCATTTGCAGCATTAGCTGCCTCCAGGACACTCACAAATCATTGTCCCTTTAGGGGTTTTTTGAGTTTAGGGAACAGATAATAGCCAGAAGGAGCCAGGTCAGGAAAATAGGGTGGATGGGGCATCACTTGAAAGCCTAAGGACGTCAGTTTTGTCATTGTTTCACCTGCAGTGTGTGACGAGGTGTCGTCATGCAACAGGATAACACCTTTGGAGAGCTTTCCTCGATGTTTTTCCTTGTTTTGCCTCAACTTTGTCAATAAAGCACAGTAATATTTTGAACTGACGGTTGAACCCTGTTGGAGGTAGACAACCAGCAGAACTCCCTTCTTATCCCCCCAAAAAACTGTTGCCATTTGCTTCTGCACTGACTTTGCACTCGGAACTTCTTTGGCCTGGGGGAACCACTGTGCCTCCATTCCTTAAACTGTTCCTTTGTCTCAGGATCATAACAGTAGATCCATGTCTCATCACTCATTTCTTGCAAAATGTTCCAGAACAGCCACTGATGACTCTACACGTTTCCTCTTTTGTTTGGTTGTCTAAAGTTTGGGGATCCACTTTGCTGCCAGCTTTCTCATTTCCAAGTCATTGTGGATACTGGCACCAACTCTATCACATGATATTCTCAGATATATAGCTATACTTTTGGCTGATATTCGGTGGTCCTCTATGATCATGTCATGGATGGCTTTCACATTTGCAGGCACAGAGACAGAAACAAGCCTTCCACTGGGTTTCTCAAGGGCCAGTTTTAAAACTGACAACCCAGTGTTTAACTGTTGCATATGAAGGGCCACTGTCACCCATAGTTTGTGACATTTCATCATGGATCTGCTTTGCACCTTTCCCTTGGAGAAACAGGAACTTGATTATGGTCCTGTGCTCTTCCACATTGAACTTTTCTGGAGGTGCCGCCATGTTCACTTTGGACCTGAACATGAAAGGTAAGTTAAAATCATAGGTTTTTGCACCATTGAATACAGACAAATTGGCCAACACACCCTGCAATTTATAGCTTCCTAGCTCAATTTTCTTCTGGGAAAGGCTCAATACTTATCAGCACCCCCTCGTACCCATCTCTGCAGGCTGCTGCTTGTGCCCTTCTGTCATGCTAGCAATGTCCACCCTATAGCATGGTCTTATCATTTATGTTTCCACATTCACAGGGATGCAGTCTTCACAGAAAACTGGAAACATAAATCCTTGCATGGACCCAGACAAGGACTGGGCTTCAGTGTCACCTAAAGGTCATAGCGCACACTGACCCCAATCAGTGCACTGTTCATTCAGGCACATTCTTAATAAAGGCAATACCAACCATTTAGTACATAAGGCTTCCGTACAGTTTTTGTCCGTGTCTCTTGTCCATCCACTTCCATCTTCGTCACCTTTTTTTGTGGGTGAAAAAGGGAGAAGATATGCTTGAACTTGTACACAGAAATATATTGTATATGGACATCACTTCATAACTTTTCAAGCTCTGAACTTCATTTTAACATTCCAGTGTTTATTCATCTTATGGTTGTTTTTAAAATACTATCATGCTCATTTGCAGAAACTATGCTAGACAGTAACACACTACTGAACATCAAAGTTACACATGCTTTGTCTTTAGAAAAGTGCAAGAATTGTGTACTTGAACAAAACTAGACACAAGGGCCAGAATCCTATTGGTGTTCATGTCAGAGCTGTGTAATTTTCCATGGCTAACTGTGGGTAAGTGGCCACATGTTAGGGTATGTCAGTCATGTCTCTGGTCACCTGCTCCATTACACAACTGGGTTTCATCTTGGCATCTTGTCAGTTAGCTGCAATTAGCTGCAGAAAGTCACATAAGCCTTATATGAACACCAATGTAACTCAAGTCATTGTAATTTTCTGAGAATATGCAGTCACCACAAACCAATCTTAATTATCTCCCAATCATCTGGGTTTCAATGTCAACATCAATTGTGCACTAAGGGCACCACAAAATTGGTAGAATTTCATAGACACTGATTTGTTAGGATGTCATTAATCCCTCCCTCTCATTGTACTTGATACCCAAGCCAAAACGTATGTGCTGTCCCAACCTGTAAACTTTGATTCATACCTTTGCACTCGGGAGCTCACAAAGCACTCACCTTTCGTGCTGCCTTTGGAATCGGAATAGCCTTGTTAGGATCAACAGCCAGGCCCATTTCAGCCAAGTTCTGTGATACAGATTTGGTCCTATCCCAGGCTTGCCGGATTTGGGAACTGCAGAGATGAACAAATAAAGTCTCTTCTGGTAACCACCATACAGCTGACTTACTTGGCATGTCCCTGCCCTGGGAGATCTCTAAAATATTGAATGTTATTGTTCGGTACGTCCTGGAACTCCATCACTGACAAACAGCTTTGTCATTGTGAAGGGTTCCAGCCCTTATACATTTAAAAAGTCGTCGGGAAGCTACTAAATGTGAAGCCCTCGCCATAATATTCATCCACAGAAACATCGGAAGTCTGATAGCTTTAGACCCTCCCCCCAAAAATATTTTAATTACAGGACCCTTCACCGCAGTCTGCCCTGTAGTTCAGCGCTGATTCCAACACAATGAGTAAGATCCAGCACATTTCAGGGACCTCTGGAAAATCAGTACCGAAACGACACAACAAAGTACTACTGCAAAGGACATTAAAAAAGCAACGTCCCGCACTGACAACATCTATAAAATCTCTTCTACAAGATATCTAGTGCCAGACCGAAGGCCAGATCTGAGCGTCCCTCGCCCTCCCCTTAATCCAGCCAGGTTTTCTTCTCTCTTAGTCCCTCACCATTTTATTCGAGGCGCCGCCCGTTTGCGGAAAGCCTTATTCAGCTTCTTCCGGTTGACATTATAGTTGTATTTGCGCCGCCGGTTCTTCTTGAGTTTCGGCATCGCGGTACCGGACTAGAAGCAGCAGCCCCCGAGACGGAACCAAGGGTCTCTAATAACACGCGGTTCCTACTGTCGAAACCTCGGCGGCGCAATCCGAGCAACCACGAGAGATAGAGCCTTTCCCCCGATGGCCGATGGGAATTGTAGTTCTCCTTGCCGTACAATGAGGTTGAATTCCTGTCCGGAATGCGTTAGTAAGACTACATCTCCCAGCAACCCTGCGGTGTGGGGGAAGAACCAGCAGCTTGTATTGCATGCTGGTCGTTTCGAGATCCTAGTAAAATAGAGATGATTGGTCAGAAACATCGCATCGTCTCCCCATCGCCTCGTTTGTACGGCGGCCGAAGAGGTTCAAAGTGGCTAAAGCGAAGTCTACTGTCTGCACGCCCTTCGGTGTAGGTGACGATGGATCAGGGCTCTCCACCCTCGTTTGACCCCAACAAACCCCCCGTGATTGAAGGTTTTACTCCAACCTCCATGCACAGGACGGAGACCTTTTCCGAAAAATTTCCACGAAAGTTCAAGGAGAACCCCTTCGTGCCCATTGGTGAGAGCCTGAGAAGGAGGCCGGGAAAGGCGGGAGGAGCCGGAGGGTGAGCGAGGGAAGGGGAAATCAGCGGTCTAAGGAGGGAGGGGGGGGACAGGCTGAGGTTGGGGTCCCCCCCCCGGTCAGGGCCCCTGCAGGTTTCCTTGGCAACCACCGGGTGATGCTGGTGCGAGTGTGGGAAAATGGCGCGCTAGTGGAGGCTTCACCTTTTGAATGTCTCTGCCTGTTGCATAACTGTGGAAGGCCCAGGAAACTTCATCGAAGGCAAGAAATCCCGTGTGGGGTGTGTTACATGCAGCGACCGAGTTCAGGGAATTACGAAACCGTTTGATCGACTTCAAGAGGAGAGAGAGGGAGCGGTGTCTCCTGGTACTAAAAATTATGAGAAACGCTTAACCTGCTTCTAAGCAATGCCAGAATATTGCCCAAGGTTATGGGAGCGAAGCCAGATATTTCCTAGCAAAGGGGAAAGAGGGGAAACTGGATTCAAGTTGTCAAATGATCAACAGTAGCCTAGGCTGAAGATTAAGAGAACTGTTGAGAAATTGACAGGATTTTTGTATATGAAGGCTTCAACGAAATGGCCAAAATCCTATTGCAGATTTATACATGTGTAAGGGAAACTGCATAAATCGTGGCAGGAAATCAAGGAGTTGCTGGTTGCATTCCTAGGTGTGGGCCGAATCACATAGTTGGGTGCTCAGACAGGAATGCAACCAATACCTCCTTAGCGAGTAGAAATTTGCTGCCAAGATTTATGCAGTTTTCCTTTATACAGGACGTGGTGGCGCTGCAGGCTAAACCGCAGAAGCCTGTGCTGCAGGGTCAGAAGACCAAGCAGTCATAAGATCGAATCCACGCGACGGAGTGAGCTCCCGTTGCTTGTCCCAGCTCCCGCCAACCTAGCGGTTCGAAAGCATGCAAATGCAAGTAGATAAATAGGGACCACTTCGGTGGGAAGGTAATAGCATTCTGTGTCTAAGTCGCACTGGCCATGTGACCACGGAAGATTGTCTTCGGACAAAACGCTGGCTCTATGGCTTGGAAACGGGGATGAGCACCGCCCCCTAGAGTCAGACACGACTGGACAAAAATTGTCAAGGGGAACCTTTACCTTTATACAAGTGTTACTTGTCCATAAGATTCTAGGCAGTACACTACTGTATATCTAGCAGTTTGTCACAGGGTTTTTGTTAGATTCTGTGTGAAGTCTGTTCATAAGACGAGACAGGTAAGGGTTAGGGTGACCACATGCTAAGTAAGGGTTAGGGTGGGTGACATCTTTTTGCTGAATGTGTGCTTGTGTTTCTACTTGCTGAAAGGTAGCAGAATTACAAGCTTGTTCTGTACTCTGTTCTCTTTGCCAACTTTTGGTATATCCATGTGCTTCTCTTGCACATGTTGGTGGATGAGATGGTTGGACAGTGTCACAGAAGCTACCAACATGAATTTGACCCAACTCCAGGAGGCAGTAGAAGACAGGAGGGCCTGGCGTGCTCTGGTCCATGGGGTCACGAAGAGTCGGACATTACTTAAGGACTAAACAACAACAACATGTGAAGTCTGGCTATATCTGAATCAGGGAGACTCTGTGTTGGTGAATTGCACCTTCCATTATCTTTCACCATTGTCTCTGCTGGCTAGGGTTAATAAGAACAGAGGTCTGAACAACATCTGGAGAGCCAGGCATGTTCTAGGGCTGGACCCCAGCATATTACTCATGCACTGAAACTTATCCATGCAGCTAAAGGAGTGGTTCTCAAGCTAAAAATTGGAGTATTTAAACTACCATGTGATTACCACTTTGCCTGTCAGAATGAGGACTCTCTGTGAAGCATAAAGCTGCCTTTGTGAGTATACATTTAGCCATTCCCTCTTTGAAGAAACTGGATGCCAGAAAAGAATGGCTTCACTGTCCTAATCCTTTCTATTTGTGGAATTCTTTACCATCCCTGATCTGAGGCCAGGTAGTTTAGTTTAGTTTAGTTTGTTTGAAGGAAATCAGTTCTATGAAGGGGAACCTGAGGATAAATGTAGGTGAACAAAGGTTTCTCTAGTCAAAGACTGACTATCTGAAGATTTTTATTATTGTTTCAACTCATATGCCACCCCACAGCACTTAAAGTACTATCTGGGCAGTTTAAAATTTAATTATGCAGGCTACATGTGCCCCCCCTCCCCGATCTGGATGCTTATTTTACCCACCTTGGAAGAAGGGAAGGTTGAGTCAATGTTGAACCAGCTACCTGAGCCTGTTGGGATCGAATTCAGATCATGAGCAGAGTCTTGACTACAGCACTGCAGTTTAACCACTGTGCCACAGAGGTAACATGAGTCTGGTGTGTTCTTTTAGACTGCTTTTTCTTGTCCTTCCCCTTAGGCTGCCTTGTCACACTTGGTGTTTTGACCTATGGATTCATCTGCTTCAAGAGGGGTGACACTCGCCGGTCCCAGCTAATGATGCGGGCACGAGTTGTAGCTCAGGGCCTGACTCTTACTGCCATCGTGATGGGCTCACTGTTTACGGGGATGGCAGCCAAGAAGTGAAGATAACTGCCAGTGTGCACTAACATGTGACTTCTTTTTACCATGCAAGAGAGAAGTCGGTCCTTCTACCCTGGAATGAGAACCTGCCACATGTTGTTGGATGGAATCTCAATACTTTTGAGGAGACCATCCATTGCTAGGATGTTTCCAGATTGTTGGTCTGGCTCCTAATTTATTCAGCATATACTGTTAAAAATCTATTTTTTTCCTGCATCAATACAGTTTTATTGTAAGCCTGATTTTCCTGGGAAGTCCAGTGTCACAGTGTCCAGAATAAGTAAAACTTTTTGGAACCAAGGGGTGTCTTTATTTCCTTGTGGGCACTTGCATAATTCTACAATCATTGGAAATAATATTATTACAGGGCCTTGGGCTAGGTATAACAAACAAAATCAATAACATTTTTAATCTTATGTAATGTTAGAAATCCACTGTCTGTGACTGGTATTTTTAAAGTATGTCCACAGGTAAGGGTTAGGGTGGGTTACATCTTTTTGCTGAACATGTTTGTGTTTCTACTTGCTGAAAGGCAGCAGAATTACAAGCTTGTTCTGTACTCTGTTCTCTTTGCCAACTTTTGGTATATCCATGTGCTTCTCTTGCACATGTTGGTGGATTTCTTGTTTTATGAACAACTTGTGCCAGTTTCCAGTCCCCTGTTCTCAATTCCGTTTGCAATCAAGCTGTTGAAAAGGAAGGGTAGAGAAAAGGAGGTTACACATAATGCTGTTCAAAGGGTAATGTGATTCAGGCTGGAATCCTACACCCACTTACTTAGGAGTAAGCCCCAGTGAAATCAGTGAGGCTCACCTGTGAGCACACATATATGGGATAGCATGCTTAAAGTTGCATAAGGTTTGCTTATGTGCTGTGTACTGTGATTGAAGAAGACAGTGGTCCAGTGAAATATTTGCAGGGGTATAAATGCTGCTCATGCAGTTAATAAGGGATGGGATTATGGAAGTAAAATAGATGTGTAGATTGGGACACAGTATCACATAAAATATTTTTAAATAAATCAATTTTTTAAAAACCCCTTTATTTTCAAAGCTTTATTTTCAGTGCAGATCTTTCTGTATAGTCAATTTAGCCATGGCTGTCCATAGATGCACATGGAAAGCTATGTTGTGTGCTGTAACTAGCCTACTGGCATCTGGCTTTGTTGAATAAGGCTTTTGATACGTTATTGAGCTATTAAAGGAGCAAAGTCTTTTGACTACCTATATGTATCATGGTAGAATCAACTTTGGTTAACTTTTGTATCCATTAGGTGTACGATTGAGAAAAGCTGACACATGGAAAGAAAGGGTTTAATCATTAGATCTGCTGAAATCACTTTTCTTTATCTTAAGAATAAATGGTTTATGTCAATATGAGAAAACAATTGCTGTCAAAATTATTGGGCATCCCCTGCCCACACAAAATTTGTTCTTCTATTTGGAAAGTATTACAGTTGATATTATGAGCTTAGAAAAGAATGGCTGAGGTCTTGTTGCTTAGCATAGTAAAATGCACTAGAGTAGGCCTATTAAATCAATGGTGATTTGATGAGTCACCTCCTCCAGCAATTCTACAGATTCAAATGTTATTCTAATTGTGGCTGACTTTAGGATAATAAGTCACAGTAGGTCTAGCTCATTCCCCACTAATTCAGTGCAACTACTGTACTCTAGTGCAATTTACGATGCTAAACAGGATTTCAGCCAATATGCCTTTCTGACTAATGGGCTCATTTAAATTAAAGGCATCTAAAAAAATCTGAATGGCAAACAGGTGGAAAGGGAGAGCCTTATATGAATCATGCTTTCCGTTGAAAGACCATCTGTTTCCTAAATAACAATAGAAATTCAACCACTTATCTATATGGGCCACAGTAATAATAAATGGGTCTTTCCTTGAGGGCAGATTTCCATCTGCCCTCAAGGAGACACTCATTAGGCCCATAAGAAACCTAGTTTGGCCGGGGATGAAATTGGCAATTACAGGCCGTCGCCAATGTTTCTTTCATGAGCAAAGTGGTCGAGAGGGTGGTGGCCGATCAGCGTCAGGCCTACTTGGATGAAACAAATGCCCTGGATCTGTTTCAGTCGGGCTTCAGGCCGCGCCACGGTACAGAGGGAGGCTGACAGGGGCAAAATGTCTCTGCTGGTCTTCCTCGACATCTCGGCGGCCTTCGATACCGTCGACCACGGTATCCTCCTGGGGAGGCTCTCCGAGTTGGGAATAGGTGGCCTGGCATTGGCCTGGCTCCGTTCCTTCTTGGAGGACCGCCCCCAGAGAGTTCAGCTTGGGGAGAGTGTCTCGGCCCCGTGGAATCTCAATTGTGGGGTCCCACAGGGGTCGATTATCTCCCTAATGCTGTTTAACATCTATATGAGGCCGCTGGGAGGGGTCATTGAGATATGAGGCATCGTGTCATCAATATGCCGATGACACCCAGCTCTACATCTCCTTTTCACCAACTGCAGGTGATGCCGTCCAGTCCCTTTAGCGCTGCCTGGGGGCCGTACTGGAATGGATGCAGGAGAATAGGCTGAGGCTGAACCCGGACAAGACGGAAGTTCTGAGGGTGGGGGCCCCCGTGGCTGGTGGCTTGGGTGACTTATGTTTGGGGGGTGACCCTGGCCGCGAAGAGTGGGGTCCGCAGCTTGGGCATATATTTGGACCCAACGCTCACCATGGAAATGCAGGTGGCGTTGGTAGTCTGCACTGCCTTTTGCCACCTTTGGCGGATTGCCCAGCTGCGGCCTTAGCTAGACATGGGGGCAAGATTAGACCACTGTAACACGCTTTACGTGGGGCTGCCTTTGAGACTGATGTGGAAACCAGGTGGTGCAGAATGCGGCGATCAGACTCCTTACTGGAGTGAGAAAATACCAATATATTTCTTGCACTGCATCAGCTGCCCATTCGTTTCCGCGTCGACTTCAAAGTTTTAATGCTTACTTATAAGGCCCTAAACGGTTTAGGACCTCGATACTTGGCGGAACGCCTGCTCCCACCAAGGTCTACCCGGATCACCTGTGCGAGCCAGGAGGTGAGGCTGAGGAGCCTGACGCCGAGAGAGGCCTGGAAGGAGAAAACACAAAAATGGGCCTTCTCGGCGGTGGCTCCTTGCCTATGGAACAACCTCCCTCTGGAGATTCACACGGCCCCTATGCTGGGAATCTTTAAAACCCAATTAAAAACATGGTTATACATCCAGGCCTTCCCTCCAGTCAGTACCTGATCTTTCTTATTTTCCCCTTTTATTATCCCTCTATTTTATTACTATTGTTATCATACAGTTATGTGCTTTTCTGCATTTTATTGTTTTATCCTATATTGTAAGCCACCTAGAGTGGACGAGTCGCCCTGATAGGCAGGGTATAAATCAAATAAATAAATAAATAAATAAATATTAATTTGCAACTAACTAAATGTGGTCAATACAACGGTATAAGGATTTATTTGGTATTATAGATTCTCTTACAACCACCATCTATGACAGTGTGTTTGTGAGGTGCAGCATAAATATCTACAGACAGGACTATTTTGTCTCATATGTAAATATGGGTATCTGAAAATTGGTAAAAGTAGTTCTTCATTTACATTGCACTTCAGATTCCAGTTTTTCTGAATCTTTTTCATTACAGAACTACCCATGTTCATCTTGCCAGTTGCCAGCACCCAGAGATGTAGAATGTAGGATTTATTAATGCGTAGTCCAGGTTTTGGTGAGCTTTCTCATGTTGACATCCAAACTGAAACTATTAAGTGTTGCTTTGTATCAGTCCATTATACATAAAATGAGTAGCACCAAATTGTATTATTTGTCAGTAAGGCAACAAAAGTAATTTACTAGATTACTGAAAGCCAGCTGATTGGTAGTCAGCTGCAAATAGCAACATCCACTAGTAAATAGCTGGACGGAAAATTTTTTGGAGACAAGTGTATAGGCAGGGTGGCTCCCCCCCCAGTCAGTTAGTACTACAGTATGTCATACTTAGGTGACAAATACAGTAAAGATGAGTTACAAACTAACAAGCTTTCAAAAATCTTTTTCTTTTTTTCTTTTGGTAATTAATCAATAATAAAAGAATGGCCTTTTCACTGGTCTTCCCAAGAATGCTTAAAGTGAAAAATGATTATTCATATCTGTTTCACTATATTTGGGAAGAAAACTTTTTTTAAAAAAAAATGGTATTTGCAACTGTAGAAGTGTGCCATAGACACAATAAAAACTAATTTTATTTTTTTGTAGATAGAATAAATAAGGTTAGTTCTTGCTTGTATCAATGTTATTCTCAGGTACTGCTGCAACAGTATTTTCTTCCATATACTTATAGCATGGTGTTTTTCTGGAAGTAAGTTCTAGTGGGCACAGTGGAACCTGCTTGTAAGAAAACATGCCTAGGATCAGTTTGTGGCCTGAGTCCAATTAGTAATCTGAACTACAATAGGCCAATGGGATTTATATAAGAGTTGGTTCCTTCTTCACTAACTGATTGAAATAGGTCTACTCCAGTGGGACTAGCAATTGGACAGTGAGAGGTCTCAGAGATGGGTATCCATCTTCCCTCTACACAGTGGTTTTGGCAAGTGGCCCCTAGACTATCCATTTATTCCCCCCTTTCCCCCCCCACAGCAAAGAAGAAGCATGAAAGAGACCATCCTGTGACCCTTTGTCTCAGGAGCAGTGGTAGTTTATTAATAGTAGGTGGGCTAACAGATTCACAGATTTTAAAGCTGGGGGTAGTGGAATGGGTGAAGGCAGCGCTGCACAAAGTTTCTGCCCTCCCCCAGTGACACCCCAGCTTGCTGCCTCGCCATAAGTTTGGACACAAGATGGAGTGGTGGTAAAACCAGGGGCTGGCTGGGCAATTCCAAGCAGAGGATGTTTCTTGCTTCTAGATGCCAGCGCAAATGTCAACCCAGAACTAAATGTCAGAATAAGTGAAAAACATTTCCACAGGTTGCAGTGGTTGCACAGGTCACTGCTGACTCCCAGATAGTAATCAGGCTGTTATCTCTAGGTTACAAACCTCTCTGTAGCTGACAATGGAAAATGCGGCCACCACTGGCCTGGCAGCTGAGATCTTTGACTTAGTCTTGTCACTTAAGGTTTGAATATAGATTATTCGTTACCAGCTTTCACCTCTAAATAATAAATACCCAGAACATCCCTAGAATGAAAACTCATCAATGTAGTCTTAGTTTTTTTCCACATTTCTGTTTCCAAGTTATTGGTGGCCCAGAAAAGTTAGATGTAGTGCAAGTACTGCAAATGTTACATTTCAGATCAATGTATCTTTAACCAACAGGTCAAGGCCCAAGACATGCAAGAGAAGGATTTACTATGGGTTTGGGGGGGGGGATGTGAGACGTACAGAGCCCTGTCTTGCAAAGATGCCTACATACTACAAAGCTGGTGCCCTGCATGTGTGTAATCTTCAAATCTAGGGCTGTGAATGAAATAACGTATCTGAAAGGGCCTTTCCCCTATGCCAGGGGTACATAAGTGAGACCGTCCAGTAGTTTTTGACCTAAAACTTCCATCAACTGTAGGCAGCACAGCCAAGGGTAAGGGAATATCTTAAATTGTAGTTGTTGTTTTTTTAAATCCAAGTTGCCCATTCCTATGGAAAAAAACTTTCTCGGTACTGTGAAGCAGGACAGAGCAATGTTTAACCTTCTGGATGTTGCTGAAATCCTGGTTAGGGCTGACATCATCTAGGAAGCTACACGCTGTCTGATCCTGGCATGGGATGACTTCAATTATAGAAAATATTTTTGCAGGATGAAGCACTAATGAGACATAGCCTATTTGTGGAAAATTCCAAGTTAACATATCAGGGAAACCGCTCAAAATATTCACTGGAATAGGAACTTTCATTTTCTTTTTAGATGTTTTTCTTGTAAATGCTTCACTGTGCAAAAATGAGCACAGCAAATGCATGATAAATGGAATCCATCAAAATGGGGTTAAGGGACTCTGCCCCTCCAGATTGTTTTGGTTTGCAGCACCCTTGATCTCTAACCAGTGGCTATGCCTACATTACTAATAGGAATGTTACGCTAAAAGCATCTGGAGGATCATGGTTGTCATCCCGGTATTAAGCAACAAACATGTATAAAGGAAAAAGAAAAGCAGCTCCCTTTGAAACCAACTTACACAAGGAAATGAACCTAGCTAATCTATGTTGTGCTTATGGCAGGTTGTGTACTTGTTTTCAGAAGCCCCAGCCACCATGACCAAAGGTAAAGGATTGTAGGATTTGTAATCCCACATATCTAGAGCCAGAGGTCTCACACAACTGACTCATAGCTATTTTTAACGGATTAATTTCAGCCCCAGTACACCAAAAATAAATATCAAACTGGAAGTCCAGATCTTCCTACCTGTCTATGCATTCCAAATTCCTCAAAGCATGTACTCCCCAAGTCATCTCACAGCTATACCTAGCCATTGTTCTCTTAAAGACTTGTGTATTTGAAGTTAGGATGACTCCCTATACATTTGCTTAAGTTACAGAATCTTCATTAAGGAATCCAAGTGCACCATTGCATCAGAACATGCATCCAAAGGAGAATCTGGAGCAATGTATTAGCTTTCCTTCAATTACAAAAGAGGAGACTGCAGGAGTCAAATATAATATGGAAAGGAGAAAAATTATAGTCATTGCTTGCTCACACAGAACCTGGGGGAGTGGGTTCTTCTCAGTGGAATTGGCTATAGCTGTTTCCTGCCTGTTAGCTGGGGTGGGAGACTGTCATGGGAACAAGGACATTAGCAGCAACAGGCTAACACCAGTAAATCTCTGAATGTTTAAAGCAGGGATGGGCTACTATGGCCCTCCAGATGTTTCTGTGTTGTATCTTCTACAGTCTCTCACCACTGGCTATGCTGGTTAGGACTAACGGAAGTTATAAGCCAAAAACATCTCAAAGGTCAAATGGTTTGGAGAATCAGCTTCCAGACAAAATGTATCAAATGCTGAAAAGATGGAACCCTAGGTGCACATAGAGAGGAGTCAACCTCACTACCTCTGTGACACTTAATTCCAAGTAAACATGCACAGGAGTGTCTTATAAGTTACTATGTTCGAACTGGGTACCTTGCTTCCGTGGATACGGATTGTAAGAGAATTGGCCTTGGTTTGTCTAATGCCTAAAAGATGCCCCACAAGCCTGGCCAGTGACAAATTATCCCGAGTGAAGCAACACCCCTTTCCTGCCACTTGTCAGTCTGAAAAGCACTCACAAGAAAATCCAATTCATCCAACATCATACCCTTGCATTTAATGTCTCCTAAGCAAATGTGGAATAACCCCACTTGAGGAGTGTTTCTGTTTGTATGTAATAATGCAACCTGCATGGGATCATCTTCTGTATTCTCCTTACTCACTTAAGCTTATACACGTTATTAAATCCAGTGGTATCTTACAATTAGGAGAAAGAGCATTATATTCAGTGGAACTAGTCCTTACTGAAGAGTGTGATGGCTTGGTGTGGCTTCTCTTCTCCCCATGACTCTCTCAGGAATTCACAAAGACCTCACTTTCAGACTGTTCATTACCACTGCAATACCCCAAGTCTAGAGTGACTTCAGTTTTCAACAGGACTCTCTTCCTTTTGCACGCTTCCTCCTGAAGGGTTCACTTCCTAACTGATACCCTTTCCCAGCTGTGCCAAAGTTGTCACATACCAACTGTGGGAAGTGGTACCAAGTTCCAACTCACTCCCTTGTAAGCAGCTTCTAAGAGTCACCACTCACTGCTGGGATTACAAACAGCTGCAGATTGAGAAGTCAAATGTGGGAATCCTGCTCGCAGGTGTAAGCTCCAGTTTGGTGCTGCCTTGAAGGTCTCGTACAGTGGAAAGATGAATTGTTTTACCTACTATATATTGGCCACATCTGACACAATACAGGGGCCAGACCTTGAAAACTGGGAACCTTATAAATGCCCCCAATACCGCAACAAGAAGTGGCCTTACCTGAAGGCGGCAGGTGTGGAAATTGAAGAGGGCAGTTGCCAAGGAACCACACCTTAATAAATATATGTCAAAAGAAACCAATGCACCCTTTTAAAGCAAAGTAAAATCAAGGGAAGGGGTACAGGCAGGCAGGCATCCACCCAACCAGAGTGACACAAACATATCAAGGGGAAAGAAGAAAGAGCAGGGATGGGATGCTTTTGTGTCCTCCTTACTGGTGGCCGTCTAAGCTTGTGCTGCAGCTAAACCTGCTGGCCAAAGAGCAATCTGCGTCCTTGTCCCAGCCCCAGCCCCTCTTCAGCTAGGCTAGCGCGCCAGGGGTGTCTGTTTGAGGGAGATCAGCACTGAGCGCATGCGTGAGACATCTTTTGACTGTTTGCTGCTCTTGGGATTGAAGTCACAGAGTTGGGCCACTTTCTCCCATTCAGTGCCAGGTGTCTCTTCCTTGGACTCCTTCAGGAATGCTTCTTCAGAGGCTCTGGAGAAAAAGGCAAGTGAGCAAATAGTCAGGCCCATAAAGAAGAAATAGATAGACAGATCCTCTCACCTCAAAAGAGAGAGGCCTGTTGATATTTTTATCTGTTTGTGGAATGATCTGAGGTCTTCCTTCTTTTCAGAAGGAGAGGTAAAGCCTGCAAACCATGTTAAATTAGGAACATGGAACCCTTGAACTAGTGAACTCAGAGGTGACACTCATGTGATTACTAAGGGAAATACCTGTGGACATTAAAAAAACAACTGGGCATGTAGATGTACGTAACAATGCATGTCCAAAGGTGCTTCCTCGTGATTTTTCCAAGCTCTACTTTTGTAGAGAGATACCATCAAAAAGTCAAAAATAGTAACACACAACCAAGCAACAGAACCTAGCTATTTATGGCAGCCAATCGGGAGTCTGAAAAGCACCTTGTTCGGAGAGGAGGGCATAACTCTGTGGCACAGCACCTTCTTTGCAAGCTCAATCATTGGCATCTCCAGGTAGAGCTAAGAAAGAAGGCAGAAGCCATAAGAAACTGCTGCCAGTTGGTTTTAACAATACTGGGCTAGACTAAGGGCAATGTTCCCTCTACTTTTCGGCCCCGCTGGGCATGGCTCTGCCTCTCACGTGTGTGACTTCACCCCCATGCACAGGATTCTGTTATGACCAGAATGAAAGGGATGGGAAGCTATCATTGTCAGTGCATGGAGGAGGAAGGCTGTACAGGGGGGGGGGAAAGTTTCATGTGTGCACACAGGTATGCACTTTAGAGGGAACCTCGACTAAGGGTCTACGTCAATATAAAGCAACTTCCTCTTCCAGTGTGCCTGCCGCCTGCCTGGGATTGTGAAATTGTGGTGGTGGGCAACAGAAGGCTGGTGGGCTGGATCCAGCCTGCTATATCAGAGGCAGGGTGGGGCAACTCTAAATAATTTGTAGTTCAAAATAGTATAGATTTTTTTTGAAAGGTCAAAGAATAACTCAGGCGAAGGAGACGGGAGATCGTCTGTTGTCTGTTGCAGTGATATGGCAAGAACTATCCAGCAGGGCTTGCTGACCCAGTCCCATGCAGAATGCTTTGAGAGAAGGCTTCCATCATCCAGTCTCCCTGCCTCAAACCCAGAATTTTATGAGGAATCTCACATTTGTAACTTTCCTGGGTTTCCTAGAGTTTCCTACTGCTACGTATGTCTTTTCTCTCACTAAAACAAACATTTCGTAGCCAAGAAAATATGAAATAGTTGCATGCTGTCTTTAGACTGGTAGCACTGAGAGTCTTCCATCTTTTCAATGTATTTGCTAAGTTTATTTGCTGAGAAATGTTATGGGCAACATGACAGGAGAATGCAGAACTTTCACAATAAGAATCCTGCTTTTCCCAAAGACATTTGGTGTCCATAACCAGTTCCCTACTGACGTCAGGCAGGGTATAGCATTTGCCTATGGAGCTTCCCCTGACCTCCAGCTTGTTACTACACAAGCCACAGATCACCCTGCTGAAACAGTGCTTGTGCAAGAAAGTACTGAACACCTCCTTGCACAAGCACATGCAATGGGTCCTTGCACACACAAGGAACAAGAGGATTCTGCCCCATGCAACAGCTGAAGAGTACCTGCACACGTATAGTGCAGAAAGGCCCCAAGCATATAAGTGGTGCCACAAGCAGTGTTGCAGATAGCTAAGGCAGATGCCCTGCATGTTAAAGTAGTCAAAGCGGGTAATAAAAAGCAAGCTCTGAAATCCAATGTTTGCATAAACACACCTGATGAGGATCTTTGTTCAAAACAAATACCACAATATTCCTGCCAGGCATGGAGGGACAAGTATCTGTTGAGCAGGACCCTTGGGATTTTGCAACTCCAAGATATACAAGAATGACAACAACACAATGTAATAGGACTGTTGTAACGAGTAGCTCTGTTCCACTATGTTGTTTCCCTACTTAAATCAGTGCATAAGCCCCTCCACCAATACTTTCTGTCAGTTTCTCCACCAATTTATGTGAATACTCTGGGCCTCGCAACCTTTTATCCTAGTGGCAAAATATTACTTCCATTAAAAATAACCATTACTTGTACAGAAAAAGGGGCAGACAGCATCCAATTAATAGTTTTTTAAAAAATATATTTAACCAAAAATAGTATACAGAGCTCACCCTGTGCCTTTTGGCTCTTAAAAACAGGAATGGCATGGAATATAAATATGCTGGAGAAACACTTGAGTTTGTCTCAGAGAAATGAAGATGCTACAGAGCCAAACAACTATATTCAGGCGCTATATGTGAAAATCTGGAAGTTCTCTCCATAAAAAGAAGAAATTGATGTCGGGTTGTTAAGGCATTTTGTGACATTTATGAGACTTCTTTCTCCCTTGGAGAATTAGAGTTCTAGTACAACTAACTAGCTCCCTTAAGGTGGGAAACATAGCACATTGTCATCCACGTATAATGCTCCCTATAGGAAATGGCACAAAGTAAAAAGAGCAAGAGAGAGAGAGACGTACACGTAGCCAATCACATCGGCATCCGGCTGCTGGTAAAAGGCTTTGTCAGCAATCCTATGGTGTGACCCAGAGACAGGAGAAAGCGCAGAGCAGAGAGGCAGCAAAGAGTTAAAGAGAGAAAGATGGGTTAGTGACCTCGGAGCAGGGAGCAACAGAATTAGACATGGCAAGACCGCATAGGTGCTGCCATGAGTTTGTTAAAAAGATTCTTTTGTCAAATACTCAGGAAAGACAGCAGGAAAGCCCCTTACAAAGATAAAATATTTGGCACAGTGCCTCCACTGCAACAGGCCTAAAACAGAGCAGCTTCTAGCTACCAAATTATATGTCCCAGAGTAGCCTTGCTGACTATTGTAAATAAAAGTTTAAAAAAAGCTGGATGTTTGCAGTAAGTATTTGGAAGATGTTTGAAGAAATGAAAGTTTGTGTTCAAAAGATAATGCAGAAAGGACTGCCCATGAGTGACAGATTTACCCAAAAGACTGACTAAGCTTCCTGCCTCTCACTGGAAGCCATTATTTGGTGCTGTTTCCTATCATCAACACGCCACAGACAAGAATGATGTAGGGAACCGCTGGTAGGAGACAAAAGGTCCCAGACCATCGGCCTCTCGGCTTCTTTACACAGCCCACCCCTGGGCATGCCCACCCCCCAGGGCCAGAAGTGCCTCCGTTTGTCTGTCAAGCTGGGTTACGGCTCCAAGGGGCAGCTCCACTGCTGCAGCCTGAAATGCTTTGATGGGGACAGCCGTGGAGAGAAGCTCTTTCTGCTCCTATTGGTAGGAGCCCAAAACCAGCACAAAGCTTTCTCCTCACAGACCTACCTGTTGTTGACCCGGTTCCTCTCCATCTGCTCATTTTGCCGCACGTTCCACTCTTCTAAGTCCTTTTTAGCCTTTTCACGCCACTCCTGTTCTAACACCTTGGAAGCAGCATCTAAAAACAAGACAGGCACATGACTGAGAGGCCAAAAGAGACAACGGGAATCCCTTGTCACAACTGGAATGCCACACAAACATGGCTAGAGGGGTTGTACTTTCAAGATCTGCAGGAGGAGTGTGGGCAAAGTGCGGCCCGTGGGCCACAGGCAGTCCCTAGGAAGCATTTCTTTGGCCCTTTAGGGATTCCCAAGGACAGTCTCTCCCGGGGGGGGGGGGAAGAGAGCAAGTTGTGTATCCATATTTAACCAAAACTGGCAGGTTTCTGCTCCTGGAGGTTTCCAGGATCTGCAGCTTGTTTATAGGCATGGGGAGGTCTCCTAAGCCCTCCTCAAAATTTTGTAGCCTCCTTCCATAGCTCAGCGTGCGTGCACACACGCACACACACACTTTGCCCTTTCTTCAGCCCCTCAAAAGCCATTTACTATAGGAGCACAGGCACACAATGTTGCATTTTCCCAATGTCAATTTGTGCAACACACACACACACAAACTTTTACTCCTACCCAACTCTTGCAGTCTCTTTTTTTGTTCTTCTCGCCATTTACGAATGCTTTCAGGCTCCTGTGTCAACCGGTCTGCTCTGGCAATAGCTGCGTAGGCATCTGTGGGTCCATTGGATTCCTTTAGACAGAAGCAACAGTGTGTGAAATCCAGGCTCTGCTCCCACACTCTCCCACCAAGGCTATTATTTTAGACATGGGGAACTGTTCCCTCCACATGTTTTGGCCCTTCAAGCTCCCTCAGCAGTAGCAAGCACAGCCAATGGTGAGGCATTTAGGGGATAGCAGCAGAAAACACTGGGAGGGCCAGGGTCCCTTCAACACCTATTTTCCTGATGAAAAGCATCCAATTCTTATCATAGTAAGAAATCTTGAACAAAATTATGGGCAAGACCTAACCTTAGTTGTCCAGAAGACAAAGACTATTTACCCCCATTCAGTAAACAAGATTAGAAGAGATGGGGGAGGGGGAGGAATGAAGGCAGTCTGAATGTGCCATCATGTAGAACTCCAGCACGTTAAGGAGAAGAGATCCTTCTGAAAGTCAAACGCTCACAGAGCCTGCTCTGCAGGTGTTTAAGAAGTAAAATAGTACATTTTGAATTACAGGCACCCATCACTATATAAGTTACATGAATGAATGAATGAATGAATGAATGAATGAATGAATGAATGAATGAATGAATGAATATTCTCCACAGCTGTACCTCCCAAAGAGAATCCACAAATGCAGGCAGCTGTGTGGATCCATCCCTTTTAGTGCCCAGCTTTGGAAAAGTTACTGGCTATGTTGGCTAGGTGACCCAAGAGCTACAGTCCCAAAAGTTACATTTCCCAAGCATTGCTTGTGCTTTTGTGGGTGGGTGGGTACGTAAACAGACACCAAGAGCAGCATCTTAATTAAGACTTTTTTGGATCCCTGAAGGAGATCCCTAAATCACTAAACATATACTTAATCAGAGTGAGTGACTAACAAACAGAAGTATTTTAGCAAAATATTTTGACTTCCACCTTCTTCACTTGTTCTGGTAAAAGTGCCAGGACAATTGAAGAAGGCAGAAGCCAAAACATTTTGCTAAAATATTTGTCTGTTAGTCATGCCTATGAGAGAGAGAGAGAGAGAGAGAGACTACGTGAGAACTTGAGAATATATTAAGAATATTAAGAATTGAGAATATAGTAAGGAAAGTTGGAAAATGTTTTACGATTGGGCCCAGACCCAGACCCAGACACACACACCCCTCCATCCCTTTTATATATATGTTTCTAGGCTCAATCATAAAGCCTGCTTGATCCCATCATACATTCCCTTGATGTTACCTGTGTCTGCTGCTATCTGTATCTGAGAGCAGAGCTGGAGCCAATAATCATTGGAACATCTCCTGGCAGTCTGTTGGACTTGGCTACGAGCAGCTCGAAGAGCTTGCAAGTTGTACTCACTAGGGCAGGCTTTGTATGCTGCTAGAGCTCTCCTCTTATCTTCGATGGCTGGAATCAACTCCTCCGAGTGGGCTTCGAACCAGTCGGCCGTCTTTTTGGTCTTCTTGCCAAATGTGGACAAGGCAGTGTTATAAACAGTGTTCTTGAAATGTTCCCAACGTTCAGGTGCACTTGCCTCAGCTGGGCCTGGAAGGGTTTCCTCAAGTGCTTGGGCAAATTTCTCCACTTTTCTTTGATCGCGAGTCTTGCTGATGTCACTACACGGTCTTCCTTCCTTTTTTGTGTGGTACAGTCTCTTTGTTCGCAGTTTTACTCTACTACACACCAGAGAGTATGGAAAATTATATATATAGGAAATTTTATATATAGGAAAAATTTATATATAGGAAACCTTCCATCCTTCCTTTCATTCATTCTTTCCTATATATATCTATATATAAAAACACCAATTCAGAGGGTCTCCTCTGGATCCTGTGACAAACAGCTGAGGGAGTTGGCTATGTTTAGCTTAGTAAAGTGACTAGAAGTGATATGAATGGCTCTCACATGGAGGATGGAACAAGTTTGGTCTCTTGCTAATGGGTTCAAATGACAAGAAAAGAACCTCTATCTAAACATTAGGAAGATTAGATAGATAAGAGCTGTTCAACATTGGAAAGGGCTACTTCAGAAGGCGGTGGATGCTTGTTCACTGGAGGTCTTTAAACAAAGGTTAGATGGCCATCTGTCAGGAATTGCTTTAGCTGTCAGCTTCCTACACCAGCAAGAGGGATGACTCCATATCTCTTGGGTCACCTCCAACTCCACAGTTCTATGCTTCTATGGTTTAACTGGAGCTAGCAATTGTTTTTAGGCCTATATCTCAAAGGCAACACATCACATTCTACTATCCTGTCCTACTCCACTAACTATTATGAGCTGAGAGGGAACAGGAAGTCTGACGTGTATATCAGATGACAACTTTGTCTCTGCTAAGGAAAAGGTCTGTGTCCTTATAAGCTTATTTCACTATTTCAATAACCATGTAGCTTCCCAAACATATACAACTTGCCTTGCCACCCACTGACAACATGATTTTCAGGCCTGTGCCTCAGGAGAGTTCCTGAAGTTCTAAGTAATAATGGCTACGCTGTGCCTCTGTGATGACATCCTGTGATGTCACAATCAAGCGTTCTCATGGAGATCTTTGTCTCGGGAGAACTGGAGGTTTATTCTGGCAGGTTTTAAAATCATTTGGATGCCATCCAGTCTGATAAGAAACCATTTTCAAAATCTCAGGCTGAAATCATTAAAACAAGCCTCCCTGCACAGTATCTTTTTTTTTTTTTCATTTTACTTCATTTGGAGCAGGCTGGTGCAGACTAAATAGGGTTGCTGGAAGGAGCCTTGGCAGCAGGAAGGCTCACTTTTGGTCTGTTTCCAGCTGTCACACATGCTATCAACACACCAAACCAGAGTGATCCTACTTATCCCCCCCCCCCAAAAAAAGAGAGAAGCCCCTGACGGGGGTTAGGAAACTGTAGGTACAAGGGACAATTTGGTTTTCTGCAACAAATACGTCATGTGATCTCTGGAAAACAGAGTGAAACAACTCACAGAGTAAGCTAAATGCCAATCTGATCACATGGCGAAGTCAGTGCCTCCCAACCTTAGGTCCCCAGATATTCCTGGAAGACAAATCCTGGAAATCTTGGGCAGCACAGCTAGTGACAGGGGCTTCTGGGGCTTTTAGTCCTAGAACAGCTGGGGACCCAAGGTTGGAAACCACTGCTCTAAGTCAGCACTCTGCAAGGAGTCAGCCTACCAGTGGAAGTCAAAAACCGTGACCTGACTGCTGTCAACACAATAGCTGTGGTGGGCCCAAATCCTATCTAGACATATTCTGTTTCCATGCGCACAGACGTATTCTCTTTCCATATATCTGACACACTGGACATGCCCATGAAAGCTCACATTAAGATATGATAGTTAATCTTTAAGATGCCACGTGTTTTGTTTCTTTGGATGTTGCCTGATATGCTTGCACAGACTAATACAGCTACCTCTTCCAAAACTGACAAAACCAGGTATCTCTCTGGAAGCTGAAGGTAGGGAGTTATTCAATTGCTAGATTACATATAGAAGGGCAGACATTAGAAGGTTGGACATCAGAAGAGTCCCACTGCTGGAGGGATTAATAATAGTAATTTCATAGTATGAATTTCTCTTGAGCTGCTGGACAGACAGATCAGCAGTTTAGGTCTCTGGCTGCAGAGCCGGATGCTGGGAGTTCAATTCCCGACTGTGCCTCTCTGACAGGGGCTGAAGTCAATGATCCATAGGGTCCCTTCCAGCTCTACAGTTCAAAGACGATGATGATCTTGCATGAAGTCTTACAGTGCTCCCGACAACTAGTGGATCAGGTTCCCACATCCAATTTCCTGGCATTCCTTTATTGCAACATAGTTGTTGCAAGAAGGATGCAAAGCAGGTGTCATTATAACATAGATTCAGCCACACCTAGTTTCCCATGAGAGGCGGTGAGGTTGAAAAAGAATGTTTCTCCAGAGAGGGATGAGTTTCTACTACTTCACTAGTAGAAACGTGGACTGCCTCATTAAGCCAAAAACAAAATTAACATTGAAAAATGTAGACAAAAACATTGCAGCACCTTAAAGACCAACTGCTGTGTTCATTGAGGAAGAGATGGGGAAGTTGTCTTCCTCAGCCCTCCTGCGGCAACAAATCCTTCCTGAAGCCTCCTCACCTTTCCCCAACTTAGTTCTCTCTCCCGTCTCTGTTCCTGAGGAATGACACCTCCATCACAAATGTTGTCTGCTGCAGAAAGTGCCAATTAATACAAATAACCTCATGGTCTTAAGGAGCTGGTCATCTCTGCCTTAAGACCTACTTCCTACCCAGAGACACCAATGTGCTTTGACAACTGAACACGCAAGCACTATTCAGAGGTCAGCATGGCTGCAATGATGTAATTCCACTCCCGTCAAAGTATATGCTTTCCCCAAGCCAGCCACTCAAGTGCCTCCTGCAAGGGAGTGGAAAATTCTGAAGCTGGTCTTTCACGCTGGGGCCAGCGCTCCGGCTCTGGATACTTATGGCCCACAACATTTCTCAGAATTGGAGGTATCTGTGAGCTGACAGGAGGAAGGCAGGTTGTTGTTGTTTTTTGGGCTCAGCAGTTGGTCTCCAGGGAGAAGGAGATGGGAAGACTGAGGAAGGCAGTTGCAATTTTTTTTTTAAAAAAAGAGCTCTGCTTCCAGAAATACTACTGCTTCTTACAGTGTTGAGCAAGCCTATCAGATTAGGCTCCACCTTTACCCAAATCCACTAATCTAATTAAGTCTACCCATCTTCAATGGGATTACACTACTGTAAACCAAGCTGATATCATGGCACAAAGGAAATGAAATGATCCATAGCTGCTGCCACCTTTTCATCCATCTGGACAGACAGGTTGGGTTTATAGATCATGGCAAGGGGTGGCATCCCAAAGGGCAGTGCATGCCCAACCCCTCCTTTGCAGCTTGCTTGAGTGAGGGTGCAATACAACTGAGAGCTGGTGTCAGCATTGTATCCTCCTATACAAAAGAACTAAGATGGGTAACACCACTCCCAGTCCTACTAGTGCAGTGACTTTATACTACACTATAAAAATGGTACAAAATAGTTAATCAGCCATTTCTATATTAATAGGCACATGATTTAGTGCTGTCACAAAACTGCAATGGAAAAGCAGTATGTCTCTGTGCCTACACACCAGATGATACTATTTCTGAGGATTTTAAAAATTTATTCTAAGACTTATAAATAGACAAAGGTGTGGACACACTCTTGGTAAATGTTGGCAGACATACTGCTGTGATATAGGCCCATGGTGATTGCTCTCTTTCATATGTTGTGAAGGAACGATCCTAATTTTCCCACTCAGCAAGGACAGGCTGCCAACCCTAGGTGTCTAAACAAGTGTACCTGTAAGATTCACACTACAAAGAAAAAAGGCCCCTTTTATTGCTGCTGTCCTTGTGCACCATTGTCTACATTTTTTTTAAAAAAAGAAACTTTCTTATTCTCATGTTTCTTCTCACACCCCGAAAATTGTCTTCTTAATATCCAATTCCACAGCACCTATGGCTGATTCGTCCCCTTCCTGCAAATGTAACAGTCTTTCTCCACACTACCGTGCCTTCAAGCAGGCATCAGCTGCAACTCCGTACATGTGGTCCCCTTAAGCATCTACAACCAAGAGTTGGGACCAAGAGCTAGAGATCTTCTGGTCAGCCAAATGCTTGATGAACTATTACACCCGCCACCTGTCACTGTTAGACAGGCTGGCTAAGGATGATATGAACTACAGTTCAGCAACAGTAAGAGCTGCCCATTCTGGTCTAGGGAAAGAGGATTCTGAAACCCATCTGTCCCTCCCTCCCTATCTGTCTTCAAACAATGCCCCCCTCCCTTGGAAGGGTTAAGGGTGAAGGATCATGGAGGTGGGTGTCCAAAACGTACAGAGGGCACCAAGCTGGGGTAGCCTCCTCCCTGAGGCCAGCACAGTTTCTTACCTGAAATACATCTCCATTCACGGTGGCCCCTGTGCTCTTCATATCAGCTGCAGAAGAGGGAGAAGAGAAATATGTTAGCCAATACTAAAGGGGAGCAGAACAAGTCTGACCCTGAAAGATGTCTTTGATTAGATGGAGGAACAGGGCTAACTCTAGCTCTTTGGGTTACGGGTTGCAAAGGATGAAGCTGAATTCATTTATCTTGGGAAATGCAAGGAATAGCAAAACATGGGAGCTGTAAAAAGAGATACTGAATGTCCAGAAGAAAAGAGGGCAATAGACATTCGTATCTTCCAACACTCTAAAATTATGCCCCAGTAACCTGGCTTTTACAGCTATTGGGGCAACCATCTCAATAAAAGCCAGTGTGTGATTCATTCTGTTTCAGAATCTACACAAGGACTCAGCTACTTGGCAACTGTGCACAGAAGACACTGCTAAGATGCAACTTCTCTTGAATATTAGTACTGTAGAGGTCAGAAACACCCTTTGTCCAGTTCTGTAAAAAGACAAACAGGAGAAGTAAATACAGGATATAAAGAACCCCCCCACACACACTAAGTTTAAAGGGGGGTACTTTCTAATACTGTAGACTACAGCCAAAAAATCAGAAGAAGACCAAGACTCATAAGGGCAGCAACAAAGGATTCGAAGAAGACCAAGACTCAGAAGGGCAGCAACAAAGGATTTAGAAAAGATAATCAAGTGTACGGATGTGTCATCGGAGACCAAGCGAAGATCATTCATACTCTTGTATTTCCAATCACCATGTACACGTGTGAAAGCTGGACAGTAAAAAAAAAAGTCAGGAAACGTGTGAAAGCTGGACAGTAAAAAAAAAACCGTCAGGAAAAAAAATGTGGTGCTGAAGGAGAGCTTTGCAGATATCCTGGACTGCCAGAAAGATGAACAAGCGAGTCCTAGGCTTAATTAAGTTTGAACCATATCTGGAGGCAGCCAGAAAGATGAACAAGCGAGTCCTAGACTTAATCAAGTTTGAACCATATCTGGAGGCAACCATATCATGAGAATACAAGACTCTCTGGAAAATACAATAAGACTGGGAAAGGTTGAAGGTAGCAGGATAAGAAGAAGACCAAATATATAGGATGGATAGATTCCTTAAAGGAGCTATAGGTTTAAGTTTACAAGAGCTGAGCAGGGCTGTTAAGGACAGGACATTCTGAAGATTGCTCACTCATAGGGTCACTATAAGTCAAAGGAAACTTGACAGCATGCAACAACAATTTTCTAGTCATCTGTGCTTAAGCTTGCTAGAACTAAAGCAGAATAAGATGTTTCCAGATAAACAGAGTTAGGAGTAAACCCAAAGTATTGCTCACATGGGCCCTTGCCAGCAAGAGTTCAATCTGTGTGATAACTGGAATAATAATGGAAATGCATGCATAGATAGAAGTAAAGTGCAGGGAAAATAACATTTTTAAAATGAGACACGCAGCCTGGTGTAACATCTATTTACCCAGACATCAGCCTGATTATATTCAGTCAGCCTGATAATCAGGTAAATGTGCATATAATTTCCCTTTATGCTAAGAGAAATGTGAGAAACACATCCTGGTAGAAAGGGGCAACACATAATTAAAACCTAGAATGCATTTCCTGGGGCTTTAACAGATGGGTAGTTAAAAAAAATACTGTTACATGAAATACATTGCTTTTCCTAAGAAGACAAGGACACAAAACTAAAAATGAAATGTTCCAGGTCAGATGTATAAACAATGTTAATAATTAACTGTTCTGCAACTTCACTTTCTGATTATTCCTTAAATGTTTCTTTTGTTTTCAAGGTTAGAAACAGAATGATCAGAATGTCTGAAATACATCTTGTGCCCCACCTCTGGCTTTATTATGTTTCCACTTCTATGTCCAGCTTATATTTACAGTATTTGCTTGTTTTCTTATGAGACATTGCCAGATGCGAGTAATTTGAAAAGAATAATTCCTTGCTACACATAACACTAATACCTTGGGAAATATAATTAATTGTTTGCATCCTTGTTTCACAAGCAGTATCCAGATTGTTTTATCTTTAAAAAAACATCTTAGCCAACTGATCCAATTTCTCTCCTTGAAGTGGTATATTGTAAGGCTTTGCTATCCAATAAAGGGAGGGAAAGTTTTGTGTACCTTCCCAAAGTGCTGGGCTAAATGAAAACTGTAAAGAACAGAAAATATAGAGGAAGAGATGGATCAAACACAGAATAATTTGTTAAGGATGTAAGAACATCCTTATCAAAAATTAAACACCTTCCAACACTTCAGAGGCCCCATTAGCAGGACACTTGGAAAAGTCACATGGGAACACGGTACCTCCAATAGAAGGATCTTGAAAATAAAAACAATGGTGGAATAGAAGGTGTATTTCCTGCTTGGGAATAGGACAGTTTTGGGGCTCCTGCCTCAAGTCAAGGACGGCCATATCTTCTTCAGAGCAGAGCAACGATGATCAGAGGATTGGAAACCAAGCCCAGTGAAGAAAGACTGAAAGAACTGAACATGTTTAGCCTTGAGAAAGCAAGATTAAGGGGGAGATATAATAGCACTTTTCAAATGCTTGAAAGGCTGTCATACAGAGGAGGGGCAGGATCTGTTCTCAATCATCTCAGACTGCAGGGTGCATAATAATGGGCTCAAGTGACAGGAAAACAAATTTCAGTTTGAATACCAGGAAAAACTTCTTAACTGTCAGAGCAGTATGACAATGGAACCAGTCGCCTGGGGAGATGGTGAGTGCTCCAATGGAAACTTAGACAACCCTCGGCCAGATCTGCTTTGATTTATATTCCTGCACAGAGCAGGGGGTGGAACTTGATAGCCTTATAAGCCCCTCCTAACTCCATTATTCTATGACTCTATTATTCTTCTGCTCCAATGCTTTCATCATAGCAGGATGACATGCAGAAATTAAGGAGCTGATGCTTTTCTGGACAAGGAAACCAAGTGAGAAGGAAATAAAAGCTTTGTCAGATCAATGTCCATGAGCCAGGCAGATGGGAAAGCAATAAGGGTGCATTGAAAATAGTCAAAAACCCCAAAGGAAAGCTACAGCTAACAAAGAGAATTTGGCAAAGGCTCCAAGGTCATTCCTTGTGATATCCCACGATAAATAACCATATCCCTTATCTTCCCCATGCCACTTCCTTGCATAGCTCAGCAAAGTAAAGTTACTTTTTGAGACTACAGTTCCCCAAATCTCTCAGCTGGCTGGGGCCAGTGATTGTGTTGGCTGAGGGATAGTGGAAGTTGTCACCTGAATGAGCAATTTTACCAAGTTCAGCTTTGCAGATATTCCTTCCCTTCTTTGGCGTCACACCCTCCCTGAATACATCTGGCTACACCCCGAGTGCCTCGGTCTGGTCCGGCAACATTTCTAGATACTCCACCCAAAGCCATTCCAGGGCATCACGGAGCCTGTCTCATCCGGGACACACCCACACGTATTTGTTCTTCCCTTCCACAGCTCCTCTTTCCCAGTCCAGAATTTGAGCCTAACAACCATCCCTCCTTTCTCAGCTAAGGAAGATACTGCTATGGGAAAGCGGATTCTCCCAGTGGGTCACACCAAGTCTTTTTTGCCCTGAACATGGGGTCCCTTTTTTGGTTCTGTGTCATCAAGCTGTATCTGACTTGCAGCAACCCTAGTAAGTTTTTCAAGATTTGTGATATATTCAAGGAGCGGTTTTGCCACACATCGCAAGAGTCTTTATAGTAAAGTGAGAATTTGAACCCGTATCTCCATTGACTTTTCTATCCACTGCAGCACACTGTCAAGAACTGGGCAAAAATATCCTAGTCAGTTACAGAGTTGGGGGGGAAAGGAGTGAAAATAATGACATGCTAAAAGTCATCCATAAACGAGCAGAAGCAGGATGATGCTCAGGATCCTGTTACATCCCTTCTTAAAAGCAACTTTCCATGCTCTCCAATTAATTTTTCCTTCCTGAGTACCTGAGACTGCTCTAAACACCAGGAAGTGTTTGTTGTTAATGCCACTCTGGAGGCCCAGAGCAGGACCGGAAGAGAGCATGGACACCCAGTGTGCTCCAATGATCAAAAGCTCAGAACTTGGGGAGATCTGGGTTCAACTCTCTCCACAGCCACAGATGGTTTTGTGCTGCGGCCTTGAGAGAATCTCTGCCTTCCTCCTGAGTGCCTTCTATCTGTAAAACTGGAACATCCGCCTGATAAAAATGTGGGCAAGTTAGCAAATCAAGGACAAATTAAAGTATCACTCTGCATCCCTGCAGAGGCTGGTGGTCATGCCAGATCTTCCAAACCAAAGCCTCTGGGATTGGTTACAGAAACCACTATCAAGTCCCCCTGTTCCCCCCTGTCTCTCCCCCCGTTCTCCTCAGGTAACCCTCTCAGGCTTTTGGGGGGGGACACCACCTCAGGCTTCGTCCTTCTGCCTCACCCTGACAAGCCCTGGCAGGTGCAGCTT